ATAAATTGGTATTAAATACTTTATTGGAAATTGCATTGCGCGCGCTATTTGGTTTCAATTTATATTATATTTATTCGTGATCTTCTTCACACATTAAGATTTTTTTCATGTGAAGAAGACGTAATCTGACGTTGACACTCTGACAAAATACATATTACATGATTTTCGCACTGACAGCTACTCGCACTTCAAAACCAAGCGAGATTCCAATTCCAAAAAATTCCAAAATTCGAAAAAAAGCCCCGCGAGCATCTCGGTCGAAAACAACCTATTGAGCTGAATCATTCGGCGCGGATTAGTCAAGCGAGACGGATATTCCGTGTGTCTTCGCGTCGCTCCTCGTAACGCGATTATTTCCTACAAGAATCTCGATCATCTCCTACGCAACGCGATCGTCTCGTACGAGAATTATTAACATTTAACAATCGCGTTTAAGTAATTGTCGCGATCCGATCATATAGTTGATTTCTATGGTGATATGTCGAGATCAATATCACGCGTAATTTAAAGAGAAAATGCGAGGAATTATATATATAAATTATTAGTTAGTTTTGATACATCCACGAGCGATACTACATTTTTTAACTATTAAACTCGGGTGAATCTCTTTTACCTTGTGCTTTGCTAAGCAACTAACTCTCGTTTGTTTGATTAATAGTTTTATGTCATATCCCCAGCATTCTCTTCAAAATTTATTTGAGAAATATTAACTGTGGTATTGGTACACCAATTGTAAGACTTAATTATTTATTGCACCCTCTGCGATTGCTGGTCACGAAAGTAACTTTAAAGTAAATTTAAACTAATTTTTTTCTTATTTGAATAATTAATGCTTATTTAATATTTAGTGCTTATTTTGTCATAGAATATTACGTGGTCAATTAAAAAAAAATTACGATAGATACCTACGAGGGTTGAAAAGTTTTGAGCCTCAACATGAAGTGGTACTTGTCGCCATCAGTACTGTGACTGTACATGCTATGAAGGATACCTCTGAAAATTTCAGCCATTTTGAACTCTCAATTGTTGTACGACAGTCGTTTGCGTCAGTAGATGTTAGTATTTCCGCGAAAATGAAAAAAAAATCGGTCGCCATGGCCAAAATTCACGAATTGCAGTTTGATCTGACGTCATGAAAATGAACCAAATGCGACTACGTGTCGAAGTGACTTTTATGACGCTGTGTATAAGCGTAGTATAAGCTAAGGTTGGATTATTCTTTTACAATTGGATCTAGAAGAACAATTTCATTTGAGCATAGGTAACTTGGGACAATTGTAAAGTGAACATTCGCTCAACGCGATCAATGTAGTATGTTACATTACTGTGAAAAAATGTTAAGTATTTCCTTGCTATTTACTTTCAACATACTTGACGTATACCGGCAGACGTGTGCTTCCGGTGACGTCACTTGTGACATACGTGATTTATCTACGTCATAAAACTGACCCAATGTATCTTCTCGATTACCTGCGATATATCGCAATTTCTCCTGCTCTTTCCTAATATTCTTTATTCAAAGTTATTGATACTACGTGATACATACGTCGTCTACTTATCTCAGCTTTACTAAATGTATTTGTTTTAACACTTAAGAAACGTTAACGATGTCATGTTGGAGAAAAACGCTTCTCGACCTAAACACTCGTCGGGTTTGACGAGTGACGCCGAAAATACCAGACTATACCGAAGAATATACCGAAACGTCAGGGAACTAATTTCGTCGGTTTCTAGCAGAGCAATTTCCTTGACGAAATATTGCCTTATACGATATTACGTGCTACAATATTAGGTGCCTCTGTCCTGTATGGATGCAGCAACTCCCATAGAAATGTGACTTGTGTACAATTACCATGGTAAACAATTAATTTTCTCGAACGGACAAATTTATTTACGTTCGTCGTAATTACGTAAAATTGGCATCTAACGGAATGAACGGCATGGGCTCCGTGACACTTTTTGCGCGCTCTCAGACTGCTCTCCGAGTTTTTAACCGTGCAAACAGCTCGAGGAGCGCAAGGAAGAAAGAGGAAAGCACCCGGAAGAGATGGAAAAGTGAAAGAAAGGAAGGAAGGAATGATGTATGGGAAAAGGGGTGAGACAAGATAATTAAGAGATAAAAGAAGAAAGAGAGACCGCGGTGCAAAACTGTTTTAGACTTGTGTGGCGAGCACAAATGTTTCGCGGTTACACGTTTGTTCGTTTCGCCGCTTTTCCGCGGACGATCGTGAACGAAGTGAACCGGGAAACGAAAGAAAGGAATGTACAGATAAGTGAAAACGAAAGAAAGAAGGGAAAAACTTCGAGGGGAACGGTCGCGAACGCCAACCAACTTTACTTGCACACGCATTCCTGCGCACTTTGAAGTAATACGTCAAAGTCTTTTCTCCAATAGTTAACGGAAGCAACAAGCAGAGTATGATAATTGTCATTTATATTAATAACGTTAGCATTAATGTCTCGAAAACGAACGAGGGATCGCCACCCGACTACTGCCACTTACTTTTACAACGTCATTTCTGCTATTGATGTCACTATCTATTTAATAGTCGCAATATTAACCGCTTTCACTTTGACAGTTGATATATCTTCGGAGAGTTCCTGAAGAGTTATGAAAGTTATGCTCGATTCGAATAAATAATCAATTATTTCTGCTTTTTATTTTGCACACAATAATCTTTTAGATATAATTACAGAATTAATTTCTCAATTCTAACAAAGAAATAATGAAATTATGAAATCAATTATCCTCTCGAATCAACTTGTTAATTCATTGAAATTAAATATCTTTCTTTTTCTCACGCATCTCGCAGAGATACTTCCGCTGATTTTAAGATGTAATTACAATATATGATACAAACGTTTGTATCAAACGACTCTATTGTACTTTTTCTCGGTGTTATAAAATGGAAACACAGATGTCCTCTCTTACTGATTAAAGTACAAATGCATACGCGACAAAAATGTGAATCTCTAAACATTTCTAGTAGATAGTGGCAATATTCGGAAATTTCGCAATCATTCGTCCGAAAAGTCGTCGACGAAGCGAATAATTGATCCTCTCTCGTGAGATTTTTCGTGGAGAGATCTAGTTGAATCGAAGGGACAGACGACACACGAATCCGCCTCGAAAACTGCACGACGCGTTAAATCTCTGAGAGCAGTGGCAGAGTACACAAAGCGCTTTCTCGAGGGGAAAAACGCCAAACGCTTATCGTCTCCATTGTCTCCAAGATAAGAGACAAAAAGAAATGTGAGAAAGGCGATATTTTATTCTAGAACGTGATATTTTTCTCTGTACAAATAATTAAAAGTACAAAAAAATAGATAATGCCACAAACAGTAATAATAACGCGCTCTCTCGTGTACACTCGAATGAGAATCCGAGAAAATAGAGAACCAGCGTTACTTGGTTACAAAATTTAACGGTTCGGCGGATTACGTTTCGAAAATATAGAGAAAGAGAGAGAGAGAGAGAAAGAGAGAAGCGCGAGAGATGGCTGGAGTTTTACAGAAAAGTTGCTTAAAGTGTGCAGGAATACGTGCGCGAGGGAACCGGGAGGGACGTTGGTGATGGCGGCTTCGTCGACCTAGCAGCGGAGCGCGACATGATTTTCGCTGGGAAATGGACAAATTAACGACTGGGGTACGTCCTAAGGTACGTTGTCGCGCTTGATTATTCGTAGGGCGATGATAGTGAACGGGAGCGAGGGAGAACGAAGTTAAAAAGCCCGTTTGTTAAAGGAGTTCGTCTCATTGTTAGCCGTCTGAAATTATTTATGAAAAATGTTGCGAATCATGGGGTAAGGTGGCCAAGTTCGGACGAGCAATTTGATGAGTCGCTAATAAGCGACATAGAAAGACGTCGGTGCCTTTTGATATCGACAATATAGCATAAAGTTGCGAATATACAGGGTGAGTCTTTCCATATCCGACAAAATTTTTGAGAACGGATCGAGATGAACGGAAAAGTCCTGTACCATTTTGCAATTTTCGTAATAGTTAACGAGTAATTAATTATTAAAAATCGTTGTCTTAGGCCGGCCTAGCGCCCAATTCGAGCGCGTGGCAAGATGTGCGCATAGCAA